TTATATTCTCTGCAGTTGGTCATTCACTTCTCATTACATGTCTCAGTTTGCACTTCAGAAATCTTAAGAAAATCCAAAGCAGCAAATCACTTCCATGCATCATCTCCTGCCAGCTGTACTGTGTTGGAGAACCAAACTACAGGCTATTCAGTGGCTGACAAGTTGTACAATTTATCTGTAGGACAGATACTGAATACTGTACCTCAATGCCAAATGGTAGCTCTGTTTTTATTGCCTGATAGATATTTGTTGCCTTAAAACAATGCACCAAGAGGAAAAATTCTTTTTGCTCTAATGCCTCTAATTTCCTTGAATCTTTCTTCTCTTTGTAAAATGGGAAAATTTAAATTGCATGCCTTACTTAGATTAGGAGGAGATGAGGAAAGAGAGGAGAGGGAAGGATTTTCAGTTGAAGCCAAACAGACATGTGGTGATCACAGAGGGAATTCGACCCAAGTCTCACATCATTGGCTTTGCACACCGGGGGTAAATACACTGTCCTTAGTGGAATTATGCTTGAATAGAATTGGTAGGAGCCTGTGACATGGACTAACTTCAGATCCTCTGGGGAGGGAGAGAGGAAGGAAGGAAGGAAGGGAAAAAGGAAAAAATCAGGCCAATTTTTTTGTTTGTTTTTAAATGTCAGCATTTTAACTGAGCAGTCACTTTAAAAAGCAGCATGTTAACTGAGCAGTCACTAAAAAGAGACCTATGCAGAGAGAATCAGTGTTTGCTTTTATAGCAGTTGGTGTCTCCCACTGCTTGGAGGTGGCAAACAAATCCTGAGAGCGCAGGCCAGTGTGGGTGCTCCAGGGAGCTGTGCTGGGAAAGTCATTGTGGCAGCCACTGTGGATCAGTATTACAGATAACATTATTTGCTAACACCTGATTTCCAAGATATACTTAGTGCTGCATTGCCTCGGTACCATCAAGCAGTGTTTGGTCATTTTAGCTTATCTTTGGATCTGCTGAGACTATGTCAGATCCCAGTTCTATCATTTAAACATGCAGATGAAGGCAGATTGGGAAGGGACCCGTCCTAGATTCTGGTGTTGGCTACTGTAACAACAATTACTATTGATTCAAGAATGATTCTAACATGAATATTTTGTCTGATGTACTGAAAACCCATGGATTTGTGTGAATCCCTTCAAAATCCATACTGACCTGGAAGACCTTCAGCATATGAATCTATGACCTCATCTTCTCACCCAGCTGCTATCACACCAAAACTGCACCATGACTTCCAGACATCCAGAACCCAAAAATGGACTAAGTAGGTTATCAGTCAAGCACATATTCTACACATGAACCAGATTTTTTTGGAGTGGACTATGTTCTGTCTGAGAGCTCTTCAATACTTCCACTTTTTAGGAGTGAAAAAACCAAGGTTTGTGGTATCAAGACAATATAGCTATAATGTGAGAATGTAGTTCTTTTCTCAAACAAAATCAGCAGAACACCTGACTAAGCAGCAGTAATCACATCTTCATTACTGTGCTGCCTTGAGGAGACAGAGCGAATGTGGCTTGACCTTATGCCTGACTCAGGCTGAATTTACAGTGGTAACAGAGAAATCATCTTTTCACTTATAAGATAAATAGCAAATTTGATGTGAGAAAGAAAAAATATGGAAATGGAAGGTTTTATAAAATAATTCTTCACTATTTAAGAATTTTGTTTCAGGACTTGTTATTATAATTAAAACAAACAAGCAAACATAAAAGGCAGAAAACTATTTGGATTTCAAGTGCATGCTGAGCTGATGGTGAAAAAGGTCCTCAACCCACAAATTCAGCAGGGAATATAAATGATTGATGGTAAAAGCTTAGATCATCCACTTTAAGTGTGATTGACAGATAATGTTCTTGGCAAACGTCTGGAATTCAGCAAGCTGGGAATGAAAAATGCAAAGTACTGACAAACAAATGCCATCTGCATTTCTCCAGCTTTTTAATCTTTCCTCAGAGGTAAGGTGAAATATATAAAGCCTGGAGTTATATGTAAAAAGAGGCTTTTGGCTCAGGTTCCCTAATGCAGCCATTAGACTTTGCCAACCTCCTTCTGACACACTTAGAAGTATCACCTTGTCCCTCTTGCTTTCTCATTACAGATGGATTTGATAAAACACCCACTTAATCTGCCCCCCATTTTTTTAATTCCTTTTTCCTGAGTGATTGATCTTACAATGTGGAGAACATATAGACAAAGGGAGATGATATGCAGTTCCATATTATGTATGAGAGGCCAATTGTTCTAATCCAGTGCAGTTACTCCTGGGTGGAATTTTAATTCCTTCTTGGTATAAAGATTTCCTACTGCTCCTTTTCCCCTCTGTTTTCTGTGAATATCGAAGACGAGTTTTTTTAGAATCTGACAATCAAATTTGATACTTTTGATATGCATCATTTCCTAAATGCACTTGATGGAAACAAAGCAGTGTGGTGTTTGCATGTGTGCCTTGCTTTGGAACCCAAAATATAATGTAGGATTGATTTTCAACTAAATCACTGGCTATTAACTTCAAGGACATATTTTAATGAAATCGAGTACAACTTCTTCAGGGTTTTTTTGGTTTGTTTCTTTCAAACAGAGCCTTCTGTGATCTGACTCAGTTTGTGGTTCATATGTTGCTTTTCTCTGGTTTGACTCAGTAGGCACCCAGCAGACGTAGCTCCTTCCTGTGCTGTTCCTGCCACTAATGGGAAGTGGCTCCCTAGGGTAGCAGGAAACTGCAGGAGGGACAGTTTTTTGGAAGGAGGGAGTTACAAATAGCAAAGGGAAACTGTCATTGCTGCCACAGGTGAATGACACAGTTGTGTCTTTCTGTGTTACGTGAAAAGCAGAATTAAATTTTAAAAAGAGTAAGACAACTAACTTCTGAGGTAGGCATAGCAGCACCATGCTATTTGTGCTTGCATTGTACTAATTATTCTTCATGATACTGTGGGACAGTAAAATGATTATTTTCATTTTAAGGTAGGGAGACTTCTCTGGAGATATTAAGAAATATGCTTAGAACAAAGCTAGAATTTCTCTCCCTTGTGCTTGGATTACCAGCTCTAACTGTTGCTCCTCAGTGATGGCACATTTCAATGCTTGATAGATTCCAGAGCGTTAATTAAAACAGTTGTTTAGCTAATTGCCTGGAATATTGTGAGTAAAAGCATATTTATTCCAAAGGCAAACAATCCATTTTTACCCAGTGAAGCATATCAGTTTTTATGGTGCATAAAAATTGTTTCACTTCAGTTTTGAATATATTGTGTACTTGTCTGTCTAAAAGCCTTTCAGATGATGATCTGCTTTAAGTGCATGGAAGCATTTTTCTTTGGCCATTTTTAATGTATCCATTGAAAAATCATACATTTAAATAATTGAAGCTGTGAAAAGTCATTGCTATTAAAATGAAAAGTTGCTTACTGTACTGGGCTATTTGACTGCCACCATGCTTATTGATGTGCAGCCTTTGTAGTATTTCCAGATATTCTCCTATGTAAGGAGACTTGAGATTGGAGAAGGGTTATCGTTATGGTGTCTTTGCTTAATTTTTGAGGAAAAAACGTGCTAAGGGAACGGGTGGTTTCAGTGTATACACACATTTAAAATTAAAATAGAGTCTATGCTCCTCCAAAGTGATCAGGAACTGGTCCATGGGAGGTGGCTGCATAGGGCTTCTGTGGAAGACTGGGAGCACATCAGTGTGAACGACAGCTTATTGCACTACAGTGTAGCTTACCATCAAGCTGATAGCTTCTCCTCAAAGAGAAAATGCTTATCATCTAATGGAAGGATTAGGTAAGGATGGAAGTACAGCTCAAGGGCTAAGATGGGAATTCTGGGTTTAATTTACAAGTTTTCTTGAGCTCTATACTCATGATAGTTCTCTTGACTTTCATATAGCCTTTTATACATGACTATTTATCTAAGAAATGAAACCTAAAAGGGCCTGGCTGAAGTCAATAAACTAATATTTATTTTGATGCTTTGGCTTTCAGAATTGCTATGGGCAGAGTATTACTTATAAGACAAGGTACCATCTGGTCCATTCCTACCTCAGCTTGATAGATGATGTGAATGTATTTCTTTGTTGTTTGTCTTAAGAGAAATATGCAGTGGTTATATAACAAAGCAGAAGTTTAAGAGGAAAACACATTTCAAAACAAGAACAGTATAATATTCTTATTCTGTTAGCAGTATATGGTGGAAAATAGAAAAAAAAAAAAAGACCATTACTCTTGTAAATGGGCTTGTAACTTTCTCCTACACACTCCCTTTTGTGCCCAGCCTGAGCTGGGTTATAACCAGCAAAATCCTTACTGGGAGCTGTTCCTCAGCTGGATTTTGGCAAACTTGCCCTGAACTGGAAAGGTTGTAAGGAAATGGCTGTTTTCTTTCTTCCAGTGTGTAACAGCTAAACATTCATGCCTGACCATTGCTACGTTGGTGATAACTAACCTGTACTCTTCTTGTTTTGGACTCTATTTCGTTGTAGCCTGTAACTGCACTGACGTCTTATACAAGATGGTTTTATTGGTATAATAGTGGGTAATTGTTAGCCAGATTAAAAAAACTTAACAACATAGATGTAAGAATCAAATCCTTTGCATTTAAGTTAAAAGAAGAAAGGGAAAAAACATTTCATCTTAATTAATCTTTGAAAGGGATAAGAAGAGAACATGAACCAAGAATGAATCACTTTTCTTGATTTTTAAAGAAAATAATTTATTGATATTTAAAGGGGACTCATCACATGAACAACTTTTTGATTATTATTTATTCTTATGAAATTTTGCTAGGCTATTAGCAAAGTAATTAACAAAAAGATAGCAGAAAAAGTTATTAATGAAATATTTCAAAGTTATTTTTTTTTAGGCAGAATTATTTTCTGACCACATGAAGTAGAAGAAACTTGTCTGTATAAATGAGATGTATATTCTTTTATATTTTTGGTGGAAATAGTACTGTTATTGAAAGTAATGCTGTTATTTTTTGTTTAGGCAAAGGAGACGTTTTTGGTGATGTGTTCTGGAAGGAGTCTACCCTTGCCCAGTCCTGTGCTAATGTAAGGGCTTTGACTTACTGTGATCTTCATGTGATTAAGAGAGATGCTTTGCAAAAAGTACTGGAGTTCTACACAGCCTTTTCACACTCCTTCTCTAGAAATCTCATTTTGACCTACAACTTGAGAAAAAGGGTAAGTAGCTTAGATTTCAACATACGTCTTATAAATGATCGCACTTTTAAGGACTCTCTGCATGAAAAAAACTGAATTGCTTGAATTCTGGCATTTTTTGTAGGCTCTCTTTATAAGAAGGTTTTTCAGAGCTTGCCTAAGAGACACTGCTAGTGTGTAGAGTCAAAAGGCCACATTTATTTCTGCGCTAGCTTTGTAGAGAGGTAGACTGTGTGTGTGTGAAAGTATTTCACATTTCAAGGAAAGAGACAGATTCCAGCATTTTGCAAACTGTCATGCATTTGTGATAAACAGTGTTCACTAGTTAATGCAACTTTAGTTTGTAAAACAGCTAAAAATATTTTAGGAGTGTTGCCTGAAATTACATAGAAAATGACAGGAAAGATATAAAATCTAATATATGGAGCAAAAGTCAAGAAGAGTAATCACAATGGAAAAATAATATGAACATGACATTCTATCAAGAGTTGCTTCTTTTAGAATCAATCACATTTTGGAATTACTTTGCTTATCTATAATGTTTCCTTTTTCTTATCCTTGATTTTTTGGCTCATTTCATTCCTTGCTGTGTGCCAGTACAAGTTATTTTGTCAAATGCAAGTCATCATAATCTAATAGCTCCTTTTAAATCCTCTGTGTAATCTTCAGTGAACAACCTCTGTAGAAATTTATTAAAACTGTAGTAGGTATAATTCAGATTATATGATTTTATGATGCAAGGTAGAAGACAATACTATTACATTTGAAAGAAATACATTGGAGAGCCTGCATTTGCTTTAAAACATTATGATATAAAGATACTTGAGATCAGCTAAAGAAATATGTTTGATAGGAGATTTTTTTGTTCCTAAAAAAGATTTTCCATGGTAACTTCCAGGTGCCAAGTAAGTTTACAGCTGAAAAAATAGAAATCTTTAATTCTTTTAAACCTGTTTTGTAAAATTAGACTTTGCAACTAGACGTTTTTAAAAATGTTTTATTTTTTGTATATGGAGTTGGCATGCTGAAATTAAAGTAGTGTCATGATATTTTCCATCTAAGAGCAATATCAAAGAATTCAGCTTTTTAGTGTTGGATGAAGAAGAATGTGCTATCCACACTTTGGTCAAATAAATACAGCTCTAGTAGAAAATTGCTGTAATTAAAAACTAAGAAGCAACTTATACTTGAGGGTTTCCTCATATGACATTTTTTTCCAAATAATACTGAGTTCCTGCAGGATAAGGAGAAGGTACACAGCTGCAAGAGCTGTTAATGAACAGCTACTTGTCCGATGTTAGTTAATGTAAGAAATAAAATAAATGAAAAAATTTGACATTGAGATTACCTAAAGAATTGGTATCACTGACTGACATATTTTGTAATTAGCTCTGTGGGTAATGTGGTAAGATGCTCTAAGAATATATAACTACTTTTTTTTCTTTTTTTTTTTTTTTAACATCAGTAAAAATAACAAGCTTTGAGGCATAGAAGGACCAACTTTTTTTAAAGCTCATGGCAATGCTAACAGAATCCAATAATTTTGGATCTGCTCTGAACCAAAAGTCCCAATTTTAAAATAAAGTACCTACTCCAGAAGTCGCACTCTGTTCCTCCACATTTATCGGCATATCTTTTCCCAGCCCAGGTTACAAAACATCTTTTAACCGCAGTGTCATAATTTCTGTGCTGTCAGTTTTCTACACAAAATGTTCCTAATAGAAAGGTACATCTTATGATAGCAATTTCCATCCAGTTATTCAAATAATTGGATTTTAATTGAGTTGCAGTCAGCAGAAAAGTGGCGTTGATTGATAATGGAAGCGAGAGTTTGATGGTTCTAGGTTAACAAGCTGTAACATTATTTATTTTATTGAAAGAAGGCTGATTGCAATCAGAATGCAAATGTTAAATAATGTGAATAGTATATGCTTTTGGAAATGCATGAAAGGTACAATACTTCAGAGATTTGAGGTAATGCACGTTAAAGGGCAACTTTTTAGAGTTTAGAATTTAATCTGGTTTAAATATCTGTGATTTTTTTATAGAAGTATCTCCCCAGCCTGTCGCTTCTAACACTTCTCCTAGTCTATTTCTGCAAATGGAATTTTGTAGAATTCAGATGAACTGGTACCTTCTGTGAGTTACATTTGTGATGTATTGCATACCCTTTGGAGTATAAATACCAGAATTACACTTTTCATTTCAATAAACAGTTTCATCTCTAGCTCCAAAAGTGTTCAACCAGTTGAAGTGTAGATACTGTATATGCATCTCAAATATATTCATACAGATTCCAAATACATGCAAAGCAGCTTTGGGGTTTTCTTTCCCCCCCGCAGAAGGATCTCATGGATATGTTTTTAGACTTGGTTATTCCTCTGAGGTGTCCCCATCTCCAGGGTGCATATGCCTTCTCTTGACCATGGTACTGAGTCTCACTACTTAGTGCAAGGTGCTTTGTAGCCAAGTTTCACTCAGGTTAAGTGAACTTTAACACTGATCCATTTTTTCACCATGTTTGCATATTCCTTGGCTGCTGAGTCTCCTGTAGTGATCCCTGGTGGAGATGGGACTCCCAGGCCCTTTGGTACCAGTGGAACAGTGCTGTCCTTACAGATGTTCCCTCTACTTACTGGCGTCTGGATCCATGTGCTAATGTCTGTGACAGAAATAAGCAGACATGCAGGTGTGTTGGAAGGTACTGGAAGTGGTCAACTAGTCTTGACCTTAGCTAATCCCTGAGCTGGATTTAGGCAAAGTAAAAAGCAACTTCCCTCTATTCCTTGTGCTGTTCTTCCTGCTTGTCTTGAATGTGGTTTGAGCTGAGCTAGGAGGGCAGGAAGCTTTTGTCCATGCATCCCCTTTATACCTTTCCTAGAACAGGGCTGCAGTTATGAAATGTTACTGCCTGTTTAAAGACTTTGTGGCCAAGGGGAAAGTTTCCAGTGCTCTGTCTCTGGCATGTCATTACTGTCCCTGTCTATGTTGTGAAAAGTTTCCTTTCACTCACTTTCTCAACAAACTCCAGTGAAACATCCTCTTTTCTAAAACTGATCAGTTTGCTCAAGTGACTAAAATCCCTCCTGAAGTTATTAGCTATCTAGTTACCTCTGACTGGAGCTCAGACTTGGAAAACTTTTTCTTTTTCCTGAAGGGGAAGAGAAAGGAGACCTTTAATTAACTCTTTCTGCTGCCAGTCATTAAAATTTTCATTTTAATGGGAGCAGGGGGAGAATCATCTGCTACATCTCTATTTCCACCATCTTAAGAAACTGGAACTGCAGTCTGTGGCTGCAGGTGGCTGTATGTTGGACTTGAGGGCTTTGCAGCTGAAAGGAAGCTGATAGAGGGTTTCTCAGAGTGCTTCCTGCTGTAACAATGCGATGAAATTAAAGCAGGTTAACTTGATGTTTCTCTCCATTTTTGGAATTTCAGAGAGAACCAGGGGTATGTGGGATAGTCAAGTGACAAACACCCTTATGGAGGATATGTTAGATAAAAGAAATATTGTAGGTTTGGAGGGCGTCAGGATTCACAAGCTGGATGGAGATCTGGTTTTTCCCTCCAAATATTTAAACACTACTGGGTCTCCAGACTGGATTTCACATCTCCAGGTTGGTAGAAGCAGAAGAAGACAAAAGCTTGCATGATAGCTTCTTGTCATCGTCTTTTGCTTGTGAGGAGGTGCAAGTTTCACATTCTTTTTTCAGGAATGTGAAAGGCCTTTGGCAGCACTTGTAATCATTCTGGTTTTGCAGTTGCTTCTTTCCATGTGTATGAGCTTTGTAACCAATATTAACTTAAACTGAGTTGTGCCACAGTGTATTTGCTCAGTTCATTCTGCTGCAGCTGAAAATGATGTTATAGCTCAAGTGATCGCACACACTACAGAAAAGGGAGAATTCTTATACATAATTGATTAAGCTGAGATTTCTCTAGTAGGCTATTTTAGCCTGGATAGAGATTAAATGACTAATTCTGATTACTTTGGAGTATCATGACAGAAAGCAGAAGTAGCTTTTCAGAGGCTGAAATTTGTGTCCTGAAATAAAAGAAGGAATGCAATAGGATATAGGTATGTTACTGGGATTTTGTAAGACTGAAAGAAATTGCAAAGAGCGTTCTGCTTTTTTACAATTCAAACACGATTTAATGATTTAGAGCCAAAGCTCTCAGTCAGAACATATTTCTTGAGAGAGAAGTGATTGTAACAGAATAGACTCACTCCTTGCCAGTGTAAGATTACTTGCTTTTGTACATATAGTGGTGTGTTTATTCTATGGTATTCCAACTGTGCCAGTGGACAGGACTCCCACCATCTCTTTTGAAAAGCAATTTTAAAATGTAATTGTGCTTTCCTCTTCAACATTAACTTAATTTTAAAATGTAATTGTGCTTTCCTCTTCAACATTAACTTAATATTTCTTCTTTTTGTAGTGTAAACTCTAACTAGAGAAAAAACCTCTCTCAAATCATACATTTCAACTAGGAGTACTTCAAGCCCTGATTTTAAATCTCTGGTAGGCCTTTGGCAGCAGAATGTTTTCAGAGAGTAGTCCATGGCCTTTCCACATGGCAAGTTTTCCAATTCTTTTTCATGACAGAAGTTCAAAATGTTATCCCAGAATTTTTTCTGATACGCAAAAGACTGAAATGCTGGAAGGTTTTAACAAAGCTTTCTTACACTGAGAAAAGAAAGGTTTTAATTTTAGAATATTGTCCCATTTGATGATGGATTTCTTAATAGTCCAACTGACAGCTTACTTCTCTCTCCTGTGTTTGTACTCACAAAGATAATCCCACAAGTTCTGTGGGAAGAGGGGGCTGTTGCTTGACTGACACGCACCTTACAGCACTGAGAACTGAGAACCTTGGACATGAGTGATGTCTAGAAGGGCCTGTGGCTTGGGAATTATGCCATATTAGCTGTCTAGGAGGCAAAGTTTTTGTTTTCAAAAAAACTGTCCAAATGCAGATAAACACCTAAGTATTCTGTTCTTTCCCATGCTGCTTTTTTA